AATAGCATGTGCTGCCATAAAATGTTGGTGGCTCTTAGATCTTTTCTTCAAATATTGTCTGCAGTAATTTTTCTACTCCAGTAGGAAAGTTGCCCATTTTATACCACTGCACAATGTCCAGATTTATGGACATTTTCTCTAGTCATCTCATTAAGAGAGTTTTTTTCTTCAAGTTGGAAAACTCTTCCCCCCAATAGATGTGTACACTGTTACAAGTAACAGCAAACCCCAGTGTTAACTGGATCACTTAAAGGGAATTTACCGACTCACTGATAACCTATCAAAGCTCCAGTTTCATTCCTCCAGAGCTGCCTCGGCTCTGCTTTTTTCCTCTTAACAATTTTGTCCTCAGGCTGCTTTCTACCATAGCGGCAGCTGTCTGCCAACAGCAATCAGGGCTGTATGTTTCTTCAATCACATCCAAAGAAAGAGAAGATAGTATCACTAAACCAAAATACTAAATAGAAGTCTCAAAATTTCTGACTGTACATCTTAGGTCACACACCACCCCTGAACCAATCCTAGTCAAACACTATGGGTGATACGCTCTGTCAAAGACAAAGAGTAGATGTCCACAATAACACTTCTTTTACCTAGTAATAAGCAGCTACCATTTACTAGGTACATACTGTATCCTGCCTCTTCATCCTTTTCGCCATTTAAACTACAGGAAACTGAGTTATCTTCAGGTCACCTTAGTTATAGGAGTGTACGGAAAACATGAATGGAAAGGTAAAAGTGCAGCAAACCACTTCAGCAGTTAACAGAAAGGCTCTCAGAGCACTGGACCGCCAATCAGGACACTGCAGCAGCTCTGGGATTCGACCACAGATTCTTCGGCGTGCCCTCGGAGAAAGGGTGGCCTCGTGACCCCTATTCTACAGAGTCTCCTCCCACGGCTGCCCAGCTCCCTGGCAGACTATCTTGCCTCTACATCACCAGCAGTAGTGGGCGGCTACAGGGCAGAGCTGTCCCGGGACCTCCTCACTGCCTCCAGAGTCAAGGAACGCCTCCTCAGGGAAGTCCTCCACCTCATCACTGACCTGTGAGTCACGGAGCTCCCGGGCACCATGCTGGCCACAAATGCCTAAGGAGCCACCCCCGGAAGCAACTGTGGGTCCCGCAGGCTAGTAGACACCTTCGGGGCCTGAGGGACTTGTACTTCAATCCAATGCTCTCCTCACTCTCACAAGATTTTACAGACGTGGAAACCGAGGCCCCAAGGGGTAATCGGCCCGCGTTCCCATGCCAATAACCGGCGGTGGCGGGACCCACACCTACCCTGTGACCCGCAGGCCCAGGGGTCGAGCCCCAGGTAGAACGCCTACACCGACTCCGCCCTCGGCGCAGCACGGGGAACCTTAACCCGGACACAGAGGCGTAAGCGGAAGTGCTGCCGAGCCGTAGCTATGGAGACACGGGGGGCGGGCCGCCCGGAGAGCGCGACCTTTGACCTGCAGTCGAGCCTACGTCAGAGGCTGGCGCAAACAGAAGTGCAGCGGTGGCGGCGGCTGGTTGCGGGCCAGCGGCAGGCAGGCGGCGATGGAGGTAACTCAGGTCGGGCCCACTGCCTCCCATCAAGCCTTCCGCGCAGCTACTTGGGATGTGGGGGTGGGCCCGGTGGGAGGGCGCGGAGGGTACCCCGAAGCCCGCTCTGCAGTCGCCTGCCACATCTTCCCTAAACTCCATCCCTGGCGGTTACCTGTCCCCATAGAGCCCGTTTGTATACGATTTGCCACAGCGACCGCCTCCGTCCGCCCTCATTCTCTGTCTCACAAGGCTTTCCACCACTTGATTCCATAGAAGGTTTTTCCCTGTAAAGGTTCCACGCGTTCCGTGTGGGATTAGGAAAAGAGTTCTTCTGACACCTGCGTTTGATTTTGTTTTGCAGGATCCTGTTCAAGATGGGGTGGCTTCACCAGCTACCCCTGGGACCGGGAAATCTAAGGTGAAGAGGATACTTGAATAGCGGGCTCCCTGAAGACTGGAAGGGTGATGAATTGGAAAACTTTGGCATGAAGAAGGGGGGCGCTATATATATATGTGTATATACACACACACATATAATTTATTTTTTTAATATCCTTGCTCCAAGGGATCTCAATTTTAGTTTACGCAGTCACCAATCCACTTCCTGTTTCTTTCTCCCCCGCCCACCCCGATATAAAAAGACTTTTTGTTTACTTCCTGCTCCTGGTTAGCACTGCTGGGAGATCCTGCGATTTTTCGAACACGAAACAAAGCAGTCTAATTTAAGAAGGTTTATATAGTGATGTAGTGGAAGGAGCAGTGACATAGGGTAGGGATCAAGGGATTCTGATCTGTGGGCTCCAGTTTTTACATTGTCAAAGAGTTGAATTAGTCCAGTTTTATGGCCTTGTACGGTGTTTAACATTTAATCATGCTAAACGATAGTGGTTTATTGCTAAGTTTATTGCTTGCATGCTAAATTTCAGGCGCTTGCCTAACCACTCAGTTACTTCATTTAAGCTTCATGATAACCGTGAGATAGGTACTGTTGTTGAGAAACCTGAGACCACAGGCTTAAGTAATTTTCTCAAGTGGTAAAGCTTAAACCTGAGACCACAGGCTTAAGTAATTTTTTCAAGTGGTAAAGCTTAATTTTTTAATTAAAGCCTGAATGTCACCTGGTTCATCTTGCTGCTATAATTATGCTTACATTTTCTTGTGACACTTTCAGCCTTAAATAGAATGAAATACTTTTACAGCTCCAAGCAATTTTAAGTAGCATTAGCTCCAACCCACTAATTTTACAATTAAATCAAAAGCTAGCAATGTCAACCTGTAACATTAGCTATAAGAGGATATGCCCTGGTATTTGCGTTTCATAGTAGTTGCATAACTAATTTTTAGTACTTGCATAGCAATTACAGAGTTGACGTTGCATTTGCTTATTTTAAAAGATGTGGCCGGGCGCGGTGGCTCACGCCTGTAATCCCAACACTTTGGGAGGCCGAGGCGGGTGGATCACCTGAGGTCAGGAGTTTGAGACCAGCCTGGCCAACATGGTGAAACCCCGTTTCTACTCAGAATACAAAAATTAGCCGGGCGTGGTAGCGGGCGCCTGTGATCCCAGCTATTTGGGAGGCTGAGGCAGGAGAATTGCTTGAACCTGGGAGGCAGAGGTTGCAGTGAGCCAAAATCGTGTCATTGCACTCTGGCCTGGGCAATAGAGTGAGACTCTGTCTCAAAAAAAAAAAAAAAAGTGAAACAGAGTATGCTGTTGGCATAAAGATTTATTCTGTAGAATGTTTTTGTTTTCTGGCAGACATTGTTTGTTTTTTGTGGTATACTAGAAACGTGAGTTATAACAAGTTGGTAACATGACCACATCTTTCAGCTGGAAACATTGCCCAAAGAAGACCTCATCAAGTTTGCCAAGAAACAGATGATGCTAATACAGAAAGCTAAGTCAAGGTGTACAGGTATTGGGTTGAAAATACTCATCTTGATCACAGTCTCTTTAATCGTGGTTTAAAATGGTAGTTTTTAAAATAATGCATTGGCTTGTTTTTGTTTTCCAGTGATTCCAAGTACACCTTAGTGTAGTAGAATCTGTTACTTAACATTCTAAAAATTTACCTCTGATTTCTAAATTATTCCCACGTCTCTAAACCACAGTGACTTTTGAGTTGTTAAAGTCAGGGAGGAGGATTTTTAAAGTTTGTGCAAGTTAAGTGTTTTTCCTTCATGTAGACTTTAGATTCTTCTGAGTAAAGCGTTTTTTCAAGAGAAGTCAGTTGAAATGTTAGAGACAGAAGATAAGCCCAAAGAGATGGAACGCTTCCTCAATTAAAATAATAAAAGATTTCCATTTATAGACATTAAAGTATATTTATCTGTTGAAGTTGATTGATTCCCTATTCAGTTTTCTTTTTATTCCAGAAGGGAAAAGATCTTAGATCTTTTTCTTAGTATATGTACATGAGCTCTTGAATTTCCAGTGACTTACAAATATTAACTGCTTAGCCTAAAAGCCGAGACTTATTTTCTATTAGAAAAGATAAAATTATGTCTTGGGAGTTTGGATCACTTTGCAATAAAGAGAATAATTTATTTGGAAAGAAGTTCTAGGCCTGAGATCTAGGCATTCGCTAGTGAAACACTTCGATTAACGTTTCGTTTTTTTTTTTTGAGACAGTGTTGCTCTTGTTGGCTAGGCTGGAGTGCAGGGGCACAATCTCAGCTCACTGCAACCTCCCCTTCCTGGGTTCAAGCGATTCTCCTGCCTCAGCCTGCCAAGTCCTCCCGAGTAACTGGGACTGCAGGCAGCCACCACGATGCCTGGCTAATTTTTGTATTTTTAGTAAAGACAAGATTTCACCATGTTGGCCAGGCCGTTCTCAATAATGTTTATTCTTAATATGCGATTGTGGCTTTTAAGGTTATATGTCCTTACAGGTAAAGTAATATGATGTCTGGAGTATGCTTGAAAATTATCAGATGGATAAGAGCAGTGAAGGGGAGGAAGTGAATACAGGTTGGGAGGACACAAAATTGGCCATGTAATAATGTTGAAGCATAGTGATGAGTGCAGAGATTAATCATACTATTCTGCTTACATATATTCTAATTTGCAGATTTTGGGGGGTTTTGTAAGAATGTACTTACCAGTTTCCCAGTAATTATGTTCTTTATTTCTGAACCGGAGTCCTTTATTTTTTAATTGTTTAGAATTGGAGAAAGAAATTGAAGAACTCAAATCAAAACCTGTTACTGAAGGAACTGATGATATTATTAAGGTAATTATTAAGTTGGGAAATGTCTAAAGAGAAATAAAATTTCCATGAGGATTGTCAGTCTGCTAGAGGCTGTCTGGCTTTGTGTCCCTGTTCTTCTACTTCCTCTCTGCCGTGGTTGTTTTTACCTATCTGATTCACTGTAAAAAGAGTGGGTTAATTACCTCTAGGTCTCTTTCTGTTCTGAAATTATTCTACTCTTTCTTCCCACGTATTTTCTTTTTTCTTTCTTTCTTTTTCTGAGATGGACTCTCACTCTGTCACCAGGCTGGAGTGCAGTGGTGTGATCTTGGCTCACTGTAACCTCTGCCTCCTGGGTTCAGGCGATTCTCCTGCCTCAGCCTCGCAAGTAGCTGGGACTACAGGTGCACGTCACCATGCCCAGCTAATTTTTGTATTTTTAGTAGAGATAGGGTTTCACCATAGGGGCCAGGCTGGTCTCAAACTCCTGACCTCAGGTAATCTGCCAGCCTCGGCTTCCCAAAGTGCTGGGATTACAGGCATGAGCCACCACGCCCCAGCCCATATTTTCTAATTATGGTTGTTACTTCATTCTCTGTCTGCTCTTCCCCAGCCTCCTGAGAAAACCTGGCCATGCTCAGGACTTCAGTGATTTTAGGTGTGCAGTATATAATCTATAGATAGATTCATATCCCTGGACATGATTACTGACCCAGATCTCACAGTTGTGTTTCCCTCTCACACATCTCAGTTATCATCTCATCAAACTCAACATAACCAAATTGCTTCCCTTGGTTAGACCAGTGGCACCACAGTTTTTCATACCTTTTGACTTTAGAGACACTTTAACTTTTCTATTTCCTTTATTCTCTATATGCGTCAGCCACCAGAGACCTATCAGAGCTATAAGATATTGTTCCAGTTTATCTCTTTTCTCTCCATTTCTATGGCTTTATGTTAAAAACATCAAATACTTAACCTATTTCAATAAAAACCTAACTGGGTTCTCTTTCTCTTTTTAGTCTTATATAATCCTGCCAGATAACAAAATATTATTTTTATTCCCTGTTTAAAAACCTGAGTTGCAGGCCGGTCGCAGTGGCTCACACCTGTAATCCCAGCACTCTGGGAGGCCAAGGTGGGAGGATCACTTGAAGTTAGGAGTTTGAGATCAGCCTGGCCAGCATGGTGAAACCCGGTCTCTACTAAAAATACATTTAGCTGGGCGTGATTGCCCACACCTGAAATCCCAGCTACTCAGGAGGCTGAGGTACGAGGTTTGTTTGAACCCAGGAGGCAGAGATTGCAGTGTGTTGAGATTGAGCCACTGTACTCCAGCCTGGGCAATAGAGTAAGACTCCATCTCAAAAAAAAAAAAAAAAAAAATGAGTTGCTTATTATTTCCACTCCCTTAATGCTAACAAATGCTTTTTTATTCCCCACTTTAGGCCAAGCTTCTGTAAAGTTTCTTTTGCATGTCAGAGCTCTGCAATACTGTATTCACAGCTTTTGCATAATATCCTTTGGTTATATATTTATTTATTTATTTTTGAGACGGAGTCTTGCCCTGCCACCCAGGCTAGAGTGCAGTGGCACAGTCTCAGCTCACTGTAAGCTCCGCCTCCTGGGTTCATGCTGTTCTCCTGCTTCAGCCTCCCAAGTAGCTGGGACTACAGGCACCCACCACTACACCTGGTTAATTTTTTGTCCTTTTAGTAGAGACGGGGTTTCACCGCATTAGCCGGAATGGTCTCAATCTCCTGACCTCGTGATCCACCCGCCTCGTCCTCCCAAAGTGCTGAAATTACAAGCGTGAGCCACTGCGCCCAGCGTGGTTATATATTATCTTATTTTCTCATCAGTGGCTCCCTACTTACGAGCTGTGGACTACTGAGGGACTCCCAGAGAGTTATTACAAGGCGTCTTTAAATCCATATGCATGTCACGCTGTATCATTTTGTTCTTTATTTAGTTACAATCTATGAAGCTAGAATGATATACACAAATGCCATTTCGTTTTATAATGTACTGTTTCATTTAAGTATTATTGAGTTCACAGTAGTCTTCTTTGTATATTTGATCATTATGTGTTTTCTTAATCCATGATAGCCACAACACAACTATATGGTAATTAAGGAAGAAGGTCAATTACACCCAGACTGCCTGAGTTAGGCTTTCAAATCCTTGTTCCTCCACTGACCAGCTGTGTGACCTTGACTAAGTTTCTTAAATTCTTTCTCTATGATTCAGTTTTGTCATCTGTAGAACAGCGATAATAATACTCTTTGTTTGTAGGATTGAGGTACAAATAGGATTGATGTAGAAATGTAGGATTGATAAGGTAATACATCTACTGCACATAGAACTGGGTTGGCCACGTAAGTACCCAATAATTGTTAGTTATCATTGTTGTTATTACCATGTATTATTTCTGGGGAATTTTTTTTTTTTCTTGAGATAGGGTTTCTCCCTATTGCCCAGGCTGGAGTGCAGTGGCATGATCTCCATCCACTGCAACCTCTAGAGTGTTTTCTAGTTTTTTATCCATTAACTCTTAAAATACTTTTTACAGAATTGCATTTCAGAATAAGAACGTTTAAATACCTACCTGCTGTTTCCTTCTTATCACTCATCAATGTATTCTCCCACTGTCAAAACTGCTCCTAAAGACAAGATTAGAAAATTTCGGCTGAGCTCAGTGGCTCACACCTGTAATCCCAGCACTTTGGGAGGCTGAGGCAGATGGATCACCTGAGGTCAGGAGTTGGAGACCAGCCTGGCCAACTTGTGAAACCCCATCTCAAAATACAAAAATTAACCAGGCATGGTGGCACACACCTGTAGCTCAGGCTACTCAGGAGGCTGAGGCAGAAGAGTCGCTTGAACCCAGGAGGCAGAAGTTGAGTGAGCCGAGATAGTGCCACTGTACTACAGCCTGGGCAACAGAATGAGATTCCGTCTCAAGAAAAACAAAATTTATCCAAGTTAGCCAACTTTACCTTTAAGGGTTTTTTTTCTTTTCCTTCTTTTTTTTTTTTTCTTAATCCGTTATATTTATACGTATTCATGGGGTACGTGTGAAATTTTGTTAAATGCATAGAATAATCATCAAATCAGAGTAGTATCCACACCCAGGTATTTATCATATATATGTGTTAGGTACATTTCAGGTCTTCTGGCTATTTTGAAAAATACTTATCTTTCTCTGCCTGACTTAGATTTTACTTAACATAATGACCTCAGCTCCATCCATATTGCTGGAAATGATGTGATCTCATTCTTTTTTATGGCTATATACATTGTATATACATAGCATTCATCCTTTGATGGGCACTTAGGTTGATTTCATGTTTGCTATTGTGAATAGTGCTGCAGTAAACACGGGAGTGCATGTATCCCTTTGTTGTATTGATTTCTTTTCAATAACTACCAACATTGAGGTTTTTGGATTGTATGGTAGCTCTATTTTTAGTTTTTTGAGAAATCCCCGACTGTTTTGTTGTTTTTTAGATGGAGTCTTGCTCTGTCACCTAGGCTGTAGAGCAATGACGTGATCTCGAGAGCTCACTGCAAGCTCTTCCTCCCAGGTTCACACCATTCTCCTGCCTCACCATCCTGAGTAGCTGTGACTACAGGTGCCTGCCACCATGCCGGGCTAATTTTTTGTATTTTTTGTATTTTTTTTTTTTTTTTGAGACGGAGCCTCCTCCTGTTGCCCAGGCTGCAGTGCAGTGGCGCGATCTCGGCTCACTGCAAGCTCCGCCTCCCGGGTTCACATCATTCTCCTGCCTCAGCTTCCGAGTAGCTGGAACTACAGGTGCCCGCCACCACGCCTGGCTAGTTTTTTGTATTTTTAGTAGAGACGGGGTTTCACCATATTAGCCAGGATGGTCTCGATCCCCTGACCTTGTGATTTGCCCGCCTCGGCCTCCCAAAGTACTGGCGAGAGCCCCCGCTCCCTGCCTGAGGAATCCCCAACTGTTTTCTATAGTGGCTATACTTACCTACACTTCCACCAACAATGTAGAAGGGTTCTCCTTTCTCTACATTGTCACCAACGTCTGTTACATTTTTTTATTCTTAATAGCCATTCCTCATTGTGGTTTTGATTTGCGCGTCCCTGATGATTAGTGATGTTGAGTATCATATACTTGTTGGCCATTTCTTTGTCTTTTGAGAAATGTCTATTCATGTCCCTTGCCTATCTTTTAATGGGGTTATTTTTAAATGTTGTGTTTGAGTTCTTTGTATACTCTGGATATTAGTCCCATATTGGATGAAGAGATTGTAAATATTTTGTCCCATTTAAGAGGTTGTCTTCTTCACGCTGTTGATTGTTTTGCTATGCAGAAGCTTTTTAGCCTATAATTTCAGCATTAAGGGAAGCCATGGCAGGAGGATCACTTGAGCCCAGCATTTTCAGACCATCGTGAGAAACATAGCAAGATCCATTTCCACAAAAAAATATATAAAAATTAGCCAGACATGGTGGAGAGTGCATGTAGTCCCATCTTCTTGGGACACTAGGAAGGTCACTTGATCCCGTTAGGTTGAGGCTGCTGTGAGCCATAATCACACTACTGCACTCCAGCCTGGGTGACAGAGGGGGCCCTTATCTAAAAAACAAAAAATTTTAAGAAGCCTTTCAGTTTAATGTCCTATTTGTCTGTTTTTGATGCCTGGGCTTTTGAGATCTTAATAAAATCTTTCTAGGCCAATATCTTGATGCGTTTACCCTGTGTTTTCTTCTACTAGTTTTACACTTTTGGATCTTATATTTAAGTTTTTAATCTATTTTAGTTGATATTTGTATCAAGTGAATGGTGAGAGATAGGGACTCACTTTCATTCTTCTGCATATAGTTACCTGGTTTTCCTAGCACCATTTGTTGAAGAGGGTGTCCTTTGCCCAGTATATGTTCTTAATGGCATTGTCGAAGATTGGTTGTCTATAAATAGGATTTATTTTTGGGTTCTCTATTTTGTTCTGTTGGTCTGTATGCTTGTTTATATACCAATACTTTGTTTCTTTGGTTACTATAG